GTGTACGCCGCAAAGAACGAGGCTCCAGTTCACCTTCGCTAGTGAGAATTCGCGTTTTCCCAAATCGTTTTGAAAAGGGGGGCTTCCGTAACCCCCAGCCTTTTAATTATTTCCTCACTAGCACACAATAAGCAAATCCCTTGCACGAAGAGTTTGTATGTCCCACCATGCTTCTCGGAATCATGCCAAAGCTGTCTTCCCAAGAACACAAGGGGTTCGATTGCAAGCTCTTCAGTCTGCAGAACTCATCTTACTACCAAGCCTGTGAATTTCGATGGGCTCGAATCGAGTGGTGTGGGGAAAGGAATGCGTAGTTTAAATAGATTCCCACAGGATGCATCTGACTGCTGGAAACAGTGCTCTGTTAAAAATTCTGCAGGCCTTGAGCGTGCGGTGAAAGGAATTTTGAAATTGCTTCAATTAAGATTTTTGAGCACCGGCAGAACCGATACAAGGGCTGCCCGTCGCATAGCAAGAGGAGAAACATTCCTTCCGCGCATGCCATGCAAAGGCTGGATCCTCGAAAACGAGAGGCGTCTGATTATATAATAAGACGGCGTGCAACTAGTTTCTATGGCATTTTGGGGGGGAATTAATAGACATACGAAGCAAGCGTTCTACCCATGGGGTTTGAGAAATAGTCGAAAATAACTCGTGAGCAGTTTAGTGGGAGAGTCTTCGCACTTCACTTTTGCAGCGGCAGCACCTGGACCTCATCATGGCGCCAGTTCTAAGTAAGTAAAGAAAGAAAGATGCATTCTTAGTTTTTGGACTACTGCACTATTCAAATCAGCATCTTATTGGACGCCATCTGCAGCGAAACTAGCGAATGCGACTCAGTTAGAATGCGACTCAGTTAGCGGCGTTGCGGAGCACATTTTGGATGTTCCCAGTGCTTATCCTGGCCCTCACAATTTTACCCAAGGTATGAGGAGTATCCTTACCGAATGCTTGCGGCTAACATCGATTATATCGCTAATTTGCCTTCTAGAGCGGTCCCAGTGATATAACAAACAAATGCCGCAGTGTCTGCCACAAATACCTACTTGCGAGCAGAACGCACTGACCCAGACTTATTACCTCTCGATCCAAGGAGCCAGCTCCTGCTAGTTTGGGACTGCATGTGTGACTGGATCAAGCAGCAGCTCCAACAAGGCAATGGAGTAACAGCAAAAGGTTTCGGTCAGTTTTCCTGTGAACTATGACAGCCGCTTCTTGCATAATCTCATTAGAGCCATAAAAACGTGCTCACTTGGACTGAAGATAAACGTGGATGCTTTTCCAACTTCACAAAGCAATTGTGGGCGGATGCCTTACTGGAATAGCGCCGAGACACCCATAGTACACATAGCGTGCGGAGTCTGGACCCCATTCCCAAGGACAGCTCTGTGGGACAGTGCTCTGATTTTCTTTCAGGTTCCTTTACTTTTGAGAGAGCTGTGCACCAACTACCCCCGTCCATACCTGAGTTAAACCATGTAGGCAAGGAGGCAGAAGCTGTGGAGCCTCGCTTCGTGATGGCCGCCGAGCTTGCGGCTGAGGTTCACAGACAGCCTAGTACCAACATGTTGGAGAGGAATCACAACAAAGGCTCAATTTTCCAGACAAAGAACATGAAGTGAGACATACAAATGCGTGGAAAGTGCAGCAGCCTTTAACGAAACCACTGCTGTGTCTTGTGCGCCGTATATCTCTGTTGGGGAATAGCATTTGGAAAATCACGTAATCACATGTAAGTAAAGTATTACACCTATTGTAATGCATATTGCTTTAATAGCTAATAGCCTCGAAGTTGGTAAATGCGTTTGCTTACTGTGTGTGCATGTACATGGCTACTAAATGTTTTGAAAGGTTTCTGAACCCAGTCCCTATTGCAGCTGCATGCTATCTAGAAACCACCGTAGTGGCATCGGCATTGCGAGCATTCTTCTCTGCTATACCGCAGTTGAGTAAGCCCAAGCCATGCCCTGACTACTAAGCTGCCTCTCTGTGGGATGCTAAGTCAACTCTGGAGAGCGTACAGCTGGGCATTTTGGCATTGTTTTTTGCTGAGGGTAGACGGCATTGTTTTAAGCATTCTCCTAGCGTTGAATTGCTCTACTTCTTGCTGTTTTGCCAACGGGACACCTTAGAAACAAGCTTAAGCTGCATGTGGTCTTTGTTGAAAACAGTTGGCAACAACTATGACTTGGCCCTTGACTTTAAATTCTGTAGAGTAAGGATCGCGAATAAAAAGATGTCATGTAGTTTCAACACATCGCTAAAGCAAGCGGCCCAGGTAACTAAAACCATATGATAAGCTTCAGTCTTCAAAAGTCTCCACGCATAGCCGCTGCATGTGCGGTTCTTTCTTCGCGCTCACCAACCAACACAGAAACCACAAAGTGTGGGCTCCACCTAGAGTAGCAAACAATGGGACTTCCTCTGTCAGTGTCCTGCTGTGATAGGCTACCCTTGACTCGAAAAGGGAAAGTGGGCCTACCCCCGTCAAAAACAGCTGGAGCGGCTGCACCAAAGCCAATGCTATGGCAACTTTCTTGAGGCACCAAAAGCAGCCAGAAGAAATACAACTTGCAGCGAGAGCACCAACAGTCTCTCAGAGGATAGAGCAAATGAAGCTACAGCAGGTGGACAACTTAAGCTTTGTCACATCTGCAACTGTTCATAAGAGCCACATTTAAGCCTTTGTGCTAGTGTCGTTCCCTGGACAGGACTGGCAGTTGCTCTGCAACTGCACACTCTTTCAACACCCGGAATCTACGTTGATTTTGGTCCAGACGTGACTCTCCATCTTTTCAAAATACTCTAATTCCGATCCACTTCACAAAGGGGCTGCCGAGAGCCTACTTTTATCTCTTTAATGGGCTGCTTCCCTCCATCCCAACAGCAGCGATTCTCGTCGGCCCTGCCTCCTTGCCTTCTCACACCAGCCACGTCACTCTTTCTGAGCATCTACTTGTCACCGTGGCTTACTCCTTGATATTATTAAAAGCCGCTGACACTATGGCATGACTGCCAAACAATGCCGATTCCCCAAACCCCTATCTTGCATGCTTCCTCTCTATGGCGTGCCAGATATTCCAACTCCCCACGCATGCACGCTAAAGTTCGATTCCAACCTCGCATGCGTGCACGCAAAACTGTTTTTTAAACGCCAGTGGGAGTATTGCAGCACGCTTAGCTCCAGGCGAATGCCCCAAGATATCTTTTGTGAATACTCCACTAGGCCATGCTCTAGCTACTAATAGGGCACGCGGAGGCTTAGGCCCACCGCTGCCTTGCTGCCAACATGGAATACACCGCTTCCCTACAATATCTGCAAGCTATCGCTCACTATACGTAGCTGCTGAATCTTAATCACACCCTTGCTATTTTGTCGGACGGGGGCATCTGTGCCAGGCCATGTAGTACACGCTTAAACCAGCCGCACACGCAAACGCACTGGGACAAGAATTGATCTTTTGATTGCACTTTCTAGGACGTCAGTTGATTTTCGTAAAGAGGGCGCATCGTAGTCAACCTTCATTACTCGAATGGCAAAAAGGCTGAACTACTAACTTGTGGAGAATATCTCTATTTCTTTCTTCGTCAAAGCGCCCTCAGGATTTTATCAGTGAGACCCAGCACGCTGCCCACGTGCCGAGATGCGATTCGTAGCACGAGTCTGCTCCCACTCAGCCATGCGGTTCAACAAGGTATAGCGAGAACCCTCGATCGTATCGGAGGACCAGCGTATGCTGCTATTCAGACAAGAGCCCCCTTAAAAAAACAGCTGACCACCCCTGAAGAGTTTCCAGTCAACCTAGGAATATATGCATACGGTTCTGCCACGAGTGGTTTCAGGATGAGAGCCGCAGTACTCCCTGCTGCATCCCTTCGTGCAACGCAACCCCACATACAAGCATATGCGAGGGTGGCAAGCTCGCCTTAGGCATATGCACTAAAACTATAAAGAACTATTAAGCGCATCCTTTACCGTTAGTGTCCAACCTGCAAGCAAGTACAAACACGCGTACCGATTCCCTCCTGAGCACCCAATTCCAGAACAAAGTAGAAGCATATGCATCCTCAAACAAAGCAAGCAGCACACGCAGTCGTGCTATACCATAAGACACACTAGTGACAAGGCTTGTAGTGGCACATTCCTTCACAAGAAACTCGTACAGAATATCGAGAAGCTCGTGATTCAGAGAAAGTCAAATAATCCGGACCGGCAGCCCATAGAGTGCTGTGGACTCTTGTGAACCACAGCAGTGTTTGGGACAAATGACTTGTTTTCTTTTCCATCTACAATTTAAAGTCATTTTCCCTGTTGAGCGTTTTTAATGACGGCTTCTATCGCATCCGTTTCACGTGGAGTCACGCATGTATTGCATAGTTGATGGGTGTTGGAGGCGAGGTTGGAAGCGTGCCGCATCAATATATGGCAAAAATAAGCTGGACTTTCTATTATTTGGAAGTCAAATAGCAACCTTTTTAGTTGTTGCTGCTCTAGAACAGTACGGTTCAGCCCCCATCATACTTGGGCTGTCGCGGCCGGGCCTGCTAGACCGCAGGAGGGCATGCAAGGGCCTCAATGCAAAACTTTACGACAACAGACCACTGCATTACCTGCATTTGCTGTGAAACCTACGCGTATGTTGAAACAAGTGTGAAAGTGCGTTCTTCTCGGTTAAGAATTGCCGAAGAATTCCAGGGAGCAGCACCGCGATGGCATAGCGGCGACCAGTGTGCTTGCAAGCGCTGCAAGAAGGCAGAGACATTTGGGGAAGTGACAACTGATTCCTGAATGCACCAATACTGGCTCATGGCTGCCTTAGGTAGGGACGTACTTGCATTGGGGCCTCCCACACGGCCACGTGGCATTGCAGTCGGTGCTGTCCCGTAGATATCTTTGAAGCGGAGGTCATAAAGACAATAATGCTTGTAATTGCATTGCGAGCATTTGTATCGGCAGCGCAATCTTAAGGCGACGTAGTACGGAAACTGAGAGAGCGGGGATGGAGGGCCACGGAGAGCTGGTGACCTTGGAGGAGGGCTGGACCAAATTGCGTCTCCAGGGAATTGAAAAGGTTCAGAGATTCCTGGAGCAGCGACCTGAGCGAGGCCATACTACGAAACGCGTCTGTGTGGTGTCAAACGAGGACTACGCCGCTATATACACGTAAGGGGGCGATAGTCCTGTCGCTTGAACATTAGTCCTTTTATGCGTCGACTAACTAGCAGTTCGGAACCTCCGATGCCAGGATTTCACAATTAGCGTACACCTCGCCATCTGCATCACCTGTGACGCCTTTTTGACCTGCCTGTACCCCACAGTTGCCGAATGTATTATTTGGCGGCGCGATTGATGCAGGATGGTCTACACGATGTGCACACAGCGGTCTCCATACAATTTCTCACAGGACCTGTATCACCTCTATGGAGACTCCATTGTTCGCTACGTCCACTCAACGGTAAGGCACTTCATTTTCAAGCAAGGCTTGCGGCTGGGAACGACCTAGTTCCTGAAGTGCGGTTTTCTTGCCCATTTCCCATTAGCCGCGGCTTGTCCTTCCTTTCTACATCAGTGTATACTTTGTACTTTGACGTGTACAGTAGAAAGGTATTGCGAACGTCAGAAAGTTGCATGGCTCCCTTGCAGTTTTCACTGTGCTCAGGTCCTGCCCTCTCTGGAGAATCGGAGAGGTTCCGATCTCTTAGAGGAGTTGCTCTGTCGGTGGGAGAACCACCGCACCCTTGTGAAGTGGCTACAAAAGTTCTTCGCCTATTTGGACCGTTACTACGTCAAAATGTACATGGAGGCTCCCCTTGTAAAGAGAGGAATTGCGATATTCAAGGACCATGTAAGCTTAGGCTGGGCCTCCAGGAATATAGCAACCTTGCTTAGTCTCGGAGTGGTCAGTTTGTGTGGGTGGACTCTGTATTTCACCGCTGTCTGAAAGCATGCTGATATCTTGCAGGTCTTCGAACGAGTGAAACAGCCGGTGTCTGCTGCAATTGAGGAAGCGATCCGGCGTCAACGGGAAGGTGCGGTTGTTGCTACCGATTAGTCCACGTAGCCTCAGCCAGCCCGTAACGCAACGCACCCTAGCTTGCCTCCTTCAGCCGGTGGCTCAGTACGCAAAGGCGTATGACTTGCTAGCTGCATGCACTTGCCGCAGGAGAATCTCTTGATGAGGAGAGCGTGGCGCAGCTAGTATGCATGTACATTGGGCTTGATCCTGAAGATGAGGGCTTAGGCCTGTATCAGCGTGAGTTGGAGGATTTGCTTCTAGCTTCTACTAAGCAATTTTACGACCGCAAAGCGAGAGAGTGGATAGCAAGCAGTACCTTTGCCGAGTACCTGCAACTTACAGAGGTGAGCATTTTGGATGCAAGCGCATTTGCAAGGTGGTACTATCGCTGTTCCTAAAAACATTGCCCTTGACCCAAGGACTATCCTGACTTGCCTAGTATTCGAGTTTGGCTTCCGCAAACAAACATTAGACTTTTACCAATGCGTCTTTACTTTTGATTGTCTACTCGCAGGCGGCGCTTGAGGCTGAAGCGCGCAGATGCGAGAGGTATCTTCACAGTAGCAGCAGTAGCAAACTGCTGGGCGTCGTCGTCAAGAGCACCTTGCAGCAACACCAGCAAGAACTGCTAGAGAAGGACACGGCTATTCCCTTTTTGCTTGCTGGGGAGGGGCGAGCTGAATTGAGGCTGGCTCATAGGCTGTTTGCCCTCGTCGATGGAGCTGTCGAGGACTTGGCGAAGCAGTTTAAGATGTACATCTCAGCATGTGGGGAAAAGGTAGGGAGCAAGATAGACTTGTCTCTTACCAGGCATCCTTGAGACGCGAGCTGTGCGTTCCCGTGCATATTCTTCATAGACCGTTATGTCATACTCAGCGTCACCTCAACACACTTGCGAATTGGCCTTTTACGCTTGCTGCCTTCTGCTGTCTTTAGCTAGTGCAGCAACGGATTGCCGCAATGCGAGAGACACAGCAGATGAGGGCGCAAGGTTCGAACAGCAGCAACAGCAACGCAGCTCTGTCACAGCAGCAGCAAAGGCAACAGGATATTATATGTGAGCACCGATTTGTGGAGAGCGTTCTGGATTTACACGACCGATTCAAGAGTATTACGCTGGACTGCTTCCGCGCTCAGCCGCGAATTTCGCAGGATACTTTTGGGTCTTCAACCCGGCCTGCTCCCCAGGCTGATTCCTTATTTCAGAAGGCATTAAAAGAAGGTCCGTACTGTGTTCTCGCCACTACGCGCTCATCACAATATGGTGTACCTGTCTTTCCGGAACGTCACATCATTGTGGGCCTCTTTCCGTGCATGCGTTTTCCTGGAGCTTTTATTGCGTTTTCCCTCATTGCCTCAGCATTCGAAAGCTTTGTCAACGCGCAGTCTCTGCAGCCACCCTTTGCGCAGTTATTGGCCTCGTTCTGTGATCGGATCTTGAGAAAGGCAGGAGGTACGGCATATTATGTAATGTTGCATATGTGGCGTATTATCGTTAAGCAGATTCAGTGCTTTAGCGCGACTGATGGTATGAACAGTTATTCGCGACGGTTTCTGTACTCGCGACGCACTCATATGGGGCCATTTCCTTTTGCGAGGCATGACGCATATCCGTATCTGGCTTGGTCAGTGGAGTGAAGTCAGTTACTGTCTAGCCTCATCTGTAGGCTGTGCACTCCGCTGCTACAGTGATACGTTGTTTTTGTTTCAGGCGAGAGAATGGGTGACGAAGAAATCGAAGAATGCCTAATGAAGGTAGTGGAAATATTTAACTACGTAACTGACAAAGACCTCTTCGCTGAACAGTACAGGTGCTCATTGCGCAGTATCTTCCGTAGAAGTTTCTCTACCAAAATCAAGACTTGTCTCAAGTAGTGTGACAGATAAGAGTCCCATATGCCCAAGCTGGCAGGTACTCGACGTAGCGCTCTGTGTTGCATCTGCTCGCAGAACGCAGTTAGGTCGCCGGCTGCTGCACGAGACCTCTGCATCACTTGAGTTGGAGCGGCTACTGATAGCAAAGCTACGTCTCAAGTGCGGTGCACACTTCACAGCAAAAGTCGAGGGGATGGTTAACGACCTACAAGTTGCTGCTGGTCTAATGCGTGCTTTTCAGCAGCAGCAGCAAGAAGAGCAGCTGAAGAAACAATCAGATCAGCGTGATCAAAGACTGGATGACTCTGTAGCCTGCCTCAAGGATGCATCCGTCCCATCGGCCTCATTGGAGACGGTGATGATAGGTGATGTGGAGTTCTCCGTGCAAGCGCTAAGCACTGCGCATTGGCCAACGTATCCAGGCAAGCGGGGACAGGAATTGACGATTCGTAGTTTTTCTGCGCAGATTTGTTCAGGCATGCGTACTGTCATACCTCAAGCACACTGAGTAGCTTTGCATCTGCTGCCAGTCGGCAGCGTGTTGCCTGTGGCACGTTTCTGCTGCTTTCAGCACCTGATTTACGTCTACCACCCGAATTAGCTCAGTGCGTTGGGGCCTTCGAGCAGTTTTACGCATCGCAAACTCAGCACCGGAAGCTAACATGGGTTAATTCTTTAGGTAAGGCCGTTATGTCTGATCGGCATGCTCACAAATAGAGCTTCTTGATCCCGGAATATGGACGACGTGCCACTACGCCACGCTTTTAATTCTTCATCGCAGTTTTACTCTGCCTGCTCACGACCGTTCCAAACTTTGTCGGTGTTGGCTTTCAGGGACTGCCCTCGTCGCTGCCCAGCTTCAGAAACGGCAAGATCTCATCTGTAACACAATGCAGGCGACTTTGCTACTACGATTCAACAGGAAGCAAGATGACGGCACCAGTGGTAACAGCGGTTGCTGCGCAGGTGACCCTGCACTGTCGGTGCAGCAGCTGGTGGAAGACTTGCGCCTTGATGAGTTGACAGTAAAGAAACTGCTAGGCTCGCTGATGCTTGGCCGTTTCAAAATACTCAAGAAGGTGGGAGGACCACAGTAACTTAGTTGTTACTGGCTGCAACTGACCTATTGTATCTCCATAGCGTGTTGCCCTGCAATATTGGGAGGAGCGCACTCTGCTGCAGAGAGCAAAAGGGTGCTTTTGCAGGGCTCTACCCTAGAGGTGCCACAGCCTCTAGCCTCTTTGCTTCTGGTTTTGCCGAGGCGTTTCCGCAGGGCGAGAACGACATGTTTCAGGTGAATGGAAGCTTTTCATGCCTTCACCGAAAAATCAAGCTGCCGACTCCCGTGCAGGAAGAAACACAATGCCGAGGTGAATATAGGATCCCTGTTCTACCAAAAAAATCGGTAGTAACGTTGGTTCTTGTGGTGGAACCCTTGAAAGCAAGCGTGGAGCACAGCCAACGGTGCAAGCTTCTGTTATAGTTTCTGATGAGTCTAGCGAGTACGTGGCTTACGAGTGTGCTGACCTGAATTTGGTGCAGCTCGTGTTGAGGAGGACCGGTCTATTACCGTTGACGCGGCAATTGTGCGCATCATGAAAACACGCAAGGTCAGTTTCTGTGCCGATTAGCACCCGTTACCAGTGTTACGGGTGACATTTTCGAAGCAGCGTGCGTACTTCTTTACGGACTACCGAATGATGGAGACCAAACGCTGTTTTTCTTGTTCTCAACAGAGCTTATCACACCAACAGTTAGTAGGAGAGGTCATGGCCCAGCTACATTTCTTCCAGCCGCCCGCGAAGCTTCTGAAGGAGAGAATACAAGACCTGATTGCCAGGGAATTTTTGGAAAGGGATAAGGACAAGCCTACTCAATACAACTACGTGGCATGACGTGTTTCTGGCGGGGCGACTTCGAGCTTGAACTTTCAGAGTTGCTGAGCTGTCACATTGCTGCAATCATTAATTTCATACGACAGAATTGTCGGATATGCAGTAGTGGATTGTTGGAACCATTGTGTGATCCAACGCTTCGTATGACCGTTCAAATGGACGTGCAGCAGGTTCAGGATGCAAATACTTCGAGCCGGTTAATCAGAAGGCTACGGCGCCCTACGGTGTCTTTGGCACAGTAGTTGCGTTGTAATGAAATGCGCCAAATCCGCCAGTTACTCTGGCAATTTCAGAAAGGTAGACGAACTGGGCAGATTGCCGGCAACCATATTTTCCCCAATTACTTGCGGTCCTCAGTTTGTCGCCTTGTTAAGGGGTACTGGACGGCGGACCAAGATGGAGGGCGGGAACCTCTGCATACCTGCTTTAAACCTGTTTTTTTCGCTGGTGCGCTGTTCTAAGTGTACTCACCGCTTGTCTGTGTACCTTTCGGCAGCGTATTTCTCAGTGTCGAATTTGGTCTCGATAAGCTTCAGCTCTTGGAGTTGCAGCCGAAGTTCTTCCTCTCTGTCTTGCAGCGCCTGTTCGAGGAACTTAATATAGCCTGTGAGCCGCTGCTGGCCGTTGACTACCCGAGAACTGTACACTGACAATTCATGCTGTAGGTGGCCCTCCTGTTGAGCCACTTCACGAGAAAGCGTTGATAGCTCTTTGTACGCGTCATTTTCGAGCTGTTGTAGCAGAGATACTACGTCCCCGTTGCCAAGTCGGAACTGCATCACCAAAAGCCGAAAGCGGTCCACGAAGGCGGCGACTTCCTGATTCGCAAAGAAGTGAACTTCGTCAGGCAGTGCTGCATACTGTTCGTCAGACAGCGCGCTTGTTACCACATCTGGCGGTAGTTCTACCACTTTCAATGGGCTCTCCCTTCGTTTCCGTTCGCTTTGCTCTATCACCCTTAACAGTTCAAAATCAGCGTGCTGGTCGCTGGCTGTTCTCTTTCCAAAAGCTGTTGAATCACCCTCCTGCAGTTGCAGATGCTCCAGCTCCAGTGCCTTCTGCTGAGCCTCTAGTTCCTCATGCGAAGGTTGGAAACTGCAAGAGAGCTCTTGAAAGAAAAGCTTAAGTGATTCTAGCAGGGATCGCTGCTCAATCTTTCCAAGCCGCTCCATTGCTTTGATTTCAGCTGAGCGGAAAGCCAGCGATCGCAGTAACACGCACAAGAAAAAGCTAAAGCATATTGTCCCTATAAAAAAGAGATAAGGGTAGAGAAAAACTCCCGCCATAACGGCGTCCGCGTGGAAGAGTTGAGACGAGGGGAAGAAACCTGTTGTTAGCAAGATCGTGGAAATAAAGGAACTCTTGAGCGTTGAGTAACTCTCCAAGTGGCGCCCAAAGGACAGAAAGCATAAATAGGAGAACCCAATGAACACCAGCATTGCCCCCATCAAGACCTGGATTATCTCCTCCAATGCAGAATTTAGCGCGAAGAACATGAGGGTTAAGCGCTTGCGCTTGCGTCCAATACGCAGAAACCGAAGAAATGCAACGGCCAAGATAGCGGCGGCTAACTGGGCGTAGGCGCGCAGGGAGGCGGCTGTTGAGCTGACGGCTTCAAAGAGCGCCCCAGCAGCGGCAGTTGCATCTGCTTCCTGCGTGCCACCGGCCGCAGCAGCTGCTGATGCTTTGGCAAGGTCATCTGCTAAATTAAACACTTGGGAGTGCGTTGAGGCAAGCACGTGAAGTATCCACACCACGATTGAACCTGCCAACACTCCGAATCCAATTAAGTCAAACAGATTGAAGAGATCATCGAAGAAAAAAATCCCCAAGCACAAACCAAAACTGTAGTCCTCACGCTCCTGCTTCAAGCTCCTCCTGAACCGGTGAAGCTCCACAATGAATGAACCGCCGAAGAACAAGAACAGCGCAACGCTAGCTACTTGCAGAGCAATAACGGTAACGGTTGTTAGATCCCACGTGGAGTACGGCTGCAGCTGAAGAGTCGCAGACACGCCAGTTGAACAAGTCGTTTCAAGGAAATTCTTTAAAGGTGCGGGCATGCATTTTATATTTGTCTGCCGTCGTGGATGCATAGGGACTCACGCTAAAAGCTTCCACGTAAAGATTCGGCGAAATACTGCCCCCTCGATTTCTGTAGAACTTGATGTACGCTTCCAACAGCATGTTGATGTGATTTCGATTTACCAGCACAATGTGAAGTGTCAGCTCCTCGACAGTATCTCTCAAGACATTTCCATCAGCAAGTTTCTTCAAAAATCCTTTGAATGTAGCGGCTTCAAACACCGGCTGATATTCGCACTGAAGTGATTCACAGGAAAAGCCTAGCTTGATAGGAAACGACGTTTCCTGGCGGAGAGCTAAAAGCACACGAACAGAGCGTGTAGTTAAACTGCTGTTCCAGTTATATAGTACGAGCTGCTGATATGCTTGACCTGCAAATGCGCCAAGAGGACAATTGGTACTGGACCAAATACCTTTATTCCGAAGGCACCGTGCACTCCGAGACTGAGCGAATCGAATATAGCTGACTGGATCCGTGGGAGTCAAGACCGAGTCGTCTGATAGTAGATAGGTAATGAAATAGTAAGGAAGTACCCTACCATCTGGCTTATTTAGCTGTGGGAGAGCCTGGCCAAACAAAGATGAATTAGAAGGGGGAGCTAGGAAGCGCATTAACCCCTCGTCAGCTACTAGCCAACTATACAGGTCTCGCGGTGTGCTTATTCCGAACAGCGGTTGAGTGGGGAGGATAATTGAAGCGTCTACATCGGTATAACCTACACATCGGAATGAGCACATCACGCCCAAAGAGGCAGACCACAGGCTTGTGAAGTGGCTGCATTTCGGCTGTGAGCTTGTGGAATTATCACCCCAGCGCAGGCTACTGCCCTGGATATTTGATCACCATGAGGTTCGTTAGACTGCTGTGACACGGTTGTCGACGGCCCTGTGTATGCCGCACCTAGGGAGGGATCCGCACAAGTAAATGTGACAGGAGCTACAGGGAATGCCGTGCTAGAGGCAGCTCGGCCGGCCATTTCTCTCATTTCTGCTGTTGCATCCACTGAGAGCTGCGAAAATGTGCAGGCATTCGGGTGTCGTCAAACACAAGTTTCCTCCCGAACAACTCGGCTCAGACGAGCGGGCATGCTCCTGAGAGCTCGTGCATGCCCATCGAAGTGCATGTGCTTTGTTCGCTGAAGGAAGCATCGCAGCTTTCCACTCACTTGCAGGCTAACAGTACCAATTAGGATTGCAACAAAGGCGAGTACAAAAAGCTTTTTCCAGGCATCTTGATGGTCTTTCTGCATTTGGTGCCTCACCAGAAGGTACACCTGTAAGCAGCTCATCACATAATAATTAAGATGCACAGGCTGTGCACATCTCGACTTGCATGTAATGTAGATTCATCTGCTCTGCAACACCACGCCCCTGCAGATACTGGCATTTAGTCTGAAACTCTCTAAAACGTCAAGCCATAGACCAATGAATACCTTGGCAACAGAGGGTGCTGGAGCTTTCGGTGTTGTATTCGCCCCAAGATTAGGCGTGAAGTAGCTTTCCTCTTTGCTTGCGAAGTCTGTCGCGTCGAATTCTTTGAAGAAGCCGTAAGTTCTTGTGTATTCAGCTGCGCCACACGAAGAATTGCCAAAAGGAAGCTCCTGAATAACATTCCTACGGAGATAATTCATTCCAATAATGTAAATCTCCAAACTCTACTCTCCCCGACCCACACGGACTTTCGCAGTTCCAGAGCCGTCCTCGCATCTTACCCATACTTGCTGGGTCCACATAGAACCCTCGTTCCAGCGTAGGTTGCGCTGCATATAGGCTAAGGGGATCTTCCATCCCAATTGCTTGCCAAACCCATGGGGGGTATTGAGGAGGGGCATCTTCGTACTCATCGGGAATCGAAGGGGAATCCTCCTCTCCGTCACACCTGTAATACTCGCCTCCACTTTTCTTACGCTTTCGCAGGGCCTGTTTCTTGTTTTCCCGGTCCTTTAGTTCCCCTGCTTCCCTCACATCATCTTCAAACTCTTCTGCAGCAAGCATCTCCAGCCTTTCCTTCGTACGGCATGTGCACACTGCCTTCCAAAGTCCTATCCACACCCTTGTCAGTGCGCACCTTAGCCACTCGTACCTTGTTCGAAACAGGCCCTGAATAAACGCGTTACCAGTGGCTTGCGCACGATGAGTGAGTGGAACCAATGTTGTCATACACGAGCATGCCCTTATAGTTGTAGGTACCACTTGTCGGATATAGTGCGGTGCTGGATGCATTGTGCAGATTTTGGCAGTTCAGCTTGTGGGTTGGGAGGCGTTTGGGTACCTGCTCGCGGAGCTTGTACTTGATAAGGTTTTGCTCTATGGACTGGGCACAGAAATCATACTTTCTCAGCACTACTGCGACAAGGAAGGTGAATCCGAAAACCGAGAAGAGAAGAAAAAGAGGCACAAAGAAGATTCCCGCAAGGACGGGATCGACAGAGGCCATGGTGTAGACATCGTAGTTCCCAAGAATTCCACCCAACAGAAAGGCCGCCGATGTTGTTAAGCTGCAGCTCACCAAGTGACGACATAACATGTAAAAAAGGAAGATGAGGACCCAGCACCCGAAGCAAATTTCTTTTCGCACATCGCCCACTTAGTTACGAATTTCAGGATTGGAAGTGCGAAACTACAAAGAATAGTATAGCCTCTGGACAGGAAATTTCAACTGTCGAACGTGGCGAGAACATGCCTTTCGTAGTAGCCAGAGAAGCTGTCAGAGGAGGCACCGAATGATACGCTCCCAAATGTAACGAAGATGAGTACTATTGCCAGCATTCCTACGCTGCAAGCGAGTATGTAGAACTTAACTTTGCGGAAAGTCATTTGGATGGCCTTCGTTTCTATCCCTGCAATGGCAGGAAGCAGCCTTGTTATCAATATGGACCCTGTTACTGCGGTAAGAGAACCAAATACAATGCAAGCCTGCTGTGCTGCAGCATTGGCACGAAACAAATTGCCGTAGTCGCTGATAAGCTGGAAGAACTCCTTCTCGTTGGTTGCGCTGGGTGCGTCCGAAACGTTGTAATATCCATTATCTCCTAGCGTTACCTTGACTTGGGGGGCAAGAAGCGCAATAATTTGTGCAGTGGCAAACGATGCGAGGAAACTAAGAAGCATCGAAATATGACATAAGAGAAACATTGTCCAGCCACCTTTAAGCCAAGACTTAAACCCCAGCTTTTTCATTTCCGCGTACTCGCACAGCAAGTACAGAAGCATTAACGCCAGCGTCAAACCAAGTGAGGTGTACCGCACCAGACCGTCAGACTGTGCCGAGAAGGATATCAGGGACGAGACCCACACCAAGGGTCTCTGAATTGTACCTGAATACGCAAGTTGTGGAAGGAAAAAGTGCTCGAACGGAAGCAATAGAAGCTTTTCATATTATTTCTGCGAGTAATTTGTGTGAACGGTACCTGAGCTGGTGAAAGCAAAGAGGATAGCGCAGTGCGAGAACGTCTGTGTGACCGGGTTGATGGCGAAAAAGTCAACGACGGCGGAGATCGTTCGACGGTCGGCAATTACAGGCAATGGGACAAACCAAGGAGGGTAACGAGACGGGGCCTGGTTCTGCTGTAGTGCATTTTGAGCTGCTTGCATTGAATCTGCGGTAAGGCATAACGCTCTGTTTCGCTCCCACTGATCCAAGCATCTCGGAAATTACATTTCAAGCAAGAAAGCATTTGCACGCTTTCGTTTACGGCACTCTTAACTGGTGAGGCAACGAGATTCACCTTCGCAAATAACTTGATAGTATCCCCCCCTTTGGTTAAAGGCCTTGGCGTCACCAGAGGCAGCGAAAGGGTATGAGTACGTGAACCTGGAACCTGGTGGACTGATGAGGGGGTTTTCGGACCGCAGCTTTGCTGCTGCAATCTTCGAAGTTGCGCCAGTCGCCGCGATGGGCCAAATCCCTTCATACCCAAGTTCGAATCCGTCAATATCTTCCAGTTCGACCTATGCAACGAACGGTGCAGGCGAAGTGACGTCAGCAGCAATTACAGCTTAGATGAAACGTAATATGAACGAAAGCATACTATGGATATTCCCCATGCGTAGAATGTTTGGGGAGAGCATTTTAAGGGGAAAAAAGTAAATGGGCAGCAACAGCAGAGCTGGTTCGTTTCCAACAATCAGCCCCTCGTGTTTCAACTACAGCTCCACACACCTGGCGAAAGGTGAATCTAAAACAGTGGCCAACAATTCTTGCAGAGCCCAAGTTGCTTGTATGTGCCGAAGGCCCGTAAAGAATCGGAATAAAGCCATAGACAATCCAAGAAGCCACGCCACCTTTACTCTTCAGCGTAAGTATATCCGCTGGATATCCAGAGTCTGGAGTGACTGATACTAATGTTGGAGCTAAAGGCGTTTGCTGAGCCTTTGCCACCTCATAGCTAATAGAGTTGAAACTGGAAAGCGTGGGTGCCAACGCGGACTTCAGCGGTGACGTGATGCCGTCTGCTGCTTCAAATATTTTCGTAATTTCCAAAGCATACGAAAGAAAGAGTAGCAGCGCTGCAAGATAGAGTAAAGAAATGAGAAGCTGGCTAACAGGCTGCCTCTGCTTTAACAGTTGTTGTACTTCTTCAACGTTTTTCGCTGATTCCTCAAATCGAATGGGAAACAGGCGTCTCCTAAACATCTCCCGCCTCAAAAGAGGCGTTTGTCCTCTAAGTACATCTCCAAGATTATTGGTATTTGAATCTTCCAGTAGCAGCTGTTTTTCTAGATGCCTCCGCTTCTCCCTGTCTCCGTCCTTTGTAGCCGATGCCATGTGTTGTGGTGCTGTGGGCAACCCATCCCACTGTTTTGCTGCTGCGTCTGCCTCCCTTGTCTCTAAGATATTTTCTGCTAGCGGCCAAACCAAATCTTGTACCTCCCCTTGGAAGCAGGTCCGCCTTTGCTGTGTCATCGAATTGTTCCCCCACAACCTAAAACAGCAGACTCCGGCGAATGCAGTAATGAACATAGATAAGCAAGCATTGCATGTCGATGCTTGAAACTAATGGGGTAAGTTTTTAGCTGTTTCATTGTTCCTACAATTCAATACCCAGTATCTCCAGCAGGACACTGCTCGTTCGGCAGTCCCCCCTGGATCACAGCCAGGTTGGCCCCTGTAAGGGCACGGGAAAAAATACCAAATTCTCAAATACGGAGACGCATACAATAACAGGGTTTCATATGAAATAAAATCTCAAAGGTTTTCTGCTGGGGCAGGTAGGAAGTAGGAAGATGTAAGGGTGGCCCTTGTGCAACGTTGCCGCCGACTCAAGACCGGTCACCCGCCTTGGGCTGGCAGTCAGTAGGCGCCGCCATGTTTCATTGTAAATGATGCATCTAGGAAAACTGGGGGGATTTGACAAATCACAAATTTTAACCATATCTGGGGGGCCTAAGCCTGCGGTTTTCGAGGTGCCACCAAGTTTGCAGCGGCGACATACGTGCTTAGTAGTGCCTAGACTTGCACCAGAGCAACAGCGGTCAAAAATGGGTTCACCTTGAGTGCTTTGAGATAGTTCATAGGAGTGCAGCATGTGTACTCTAGGCATTTATCGGTTTCTATCCTTGAACACTGAAATTAACGTCTCCTTGGGTTCCAACTTGGCAACGCAAGCTGCTCGGCTGCCACAGACCATGCAGGAGCAACTTGACCGATGCTTCATGATTCAAAAAGACGTTGCTCCTCACATTGCTGTTTCGCGTTTATTGCTGTTTTCCAGTCGTCTGGTGTGGCTGTACCAGCAAATCTCAAGGGATCTTAGGCGTGGTAGCGGCGCGACTCGATGCTAGATTCGTTTCGTCCGATTGCGTTTGAGGCGATGCTTCAGCGCAGAAGTGGGGTTTCGGTGAATCAGTGTAAAAAGACCTTGGGTTGAAGTGAAACCGCTTGAAAAGAAACTCGTTCCTTGCATTCTCGCCTACTTCCCGTAAGAATTTTCCGTACTTTGTGGAGCCCTCAAACATATACATATATATATATATATATATATATGCTTGTATGCATTGTATAGGCACCGACATCTATATATATATATATA